GCTTGTCAGAGGATTTTACAGACTTCAGTGGACTTATAAGCTGACTATTAAGCCACCACATTTCCTCCCCCCTTCCCCTGCCTCGCTTGATTGGTTCCTAAATTTGGCTTATCCCATGTTTCCAGGAACAAATCTGCTGTGACAGAATAAGCAAATGGTGTCTACAGCCTCGAAAGACAGTTAAGCCATTTTTTTCTGAGGAAAACAAATACTGATGTTTTTCAAAAGTACAGGGAATCTGACATAAGCTACCTGGAAACCAGTGCCCCCATCTGATCAGGAGTGCCAATATCTCTCCATGACACAGACATCATGCCTGCAGTCCTGTAGTTATTCTCTACATTTCAACTTGACTGGGAGATTGATTATACATGGATTTGGCTGCTAGATACAGAATTAGTCCTGCCGTACATGGGATTTCAGCGGTGCTGTTATGAACACCAGGCATCACCACTGGAAAACTTATTTCAAACATGAAATCATTCCCCAGCTATCCACACTGATGTCAAAGTAACTAGTGTTGGTCTAAACCTTCTTTTTGCCTCTTAGTCCACTTCATATAAAAGCAAATATATCTTTATGCCCCACCTCCTGCCTCATTACCGGACAGTTCTCCGATAAGGATTCTAAAGTTGAAAACTAGATGAAACCACACTTATACGCAAGAAAGCAGAAGACACAGAACCCAAGCAATCAGAGATCCAGCCCATAGGTCAGAACCTATATAGCCAAGTGAAAAGTAAAGAAAAATGGAAAATGCGTTGTGCAAGTTCACCAATGTTTTTAATCTTTTTCTGTTTCTTGGTTGCCTGCTAAATGCTGTTCCTCATTTGCTCTTGCTTCAAGCCTTAACCCATCTAGTACATAGGTTAATAAGTCACTGAGTATAATCATACTGTTCCCTACAGAGTTAAATATCGTGACAATTCCAATTTTATATACTGATAAATTACCTTTACAGTGGTTCTCATCCCAAGGATACACACAGTTCTGAAGTCCATTGCAGACCAATGTATTATTAATACACATATTACTATGGCAAAAAAATGCATTGGCTTCACAGGGGGCTAAAAACAAACAAAAAAGGAAAACAAATATTAAGCAGTAGATCACTCACCTTTCAAAACTAAGCACATCTAGGAACAATATTATCTTAAGCAGCAATTAGCTTCATGACAGAGGTTCCTCAGAAGCAGTAATTCTTTATTATATTAGTTGTACCACTCAACTCTCAAATCACACACAGCATACTAATGTGACACACCGAGTTCCTCTCCAGTTTAAGATGGATGGGATTGTTGCCCAGTTTTTTTTTTATTCTAACAAATATTTCAGTTTAGAATGTATAGAAACCAATTCTAGATAAAACAGTGGTGTTAATAAATTAAGAGACTGTGCTACATATGTACTTATTTGATTCATATTACTAGCATCTGAACATACAAATTCTACGGGAGACAATACACTAAATGAGAAGAAAGGAGAACACACATTCACCCTTCTGATATCATGTGACCCAAGATTATAAAGCTCCAAGAAAAAGACTGCATAGTTGCCTCTAAGGTGCAGAGGTTTGTGGAATCATATATATAGTAGCCCAGTGTCTGAGAGTCTAACGCCGAAATGCTGGCTGTTCCCTCTGGTGCGCGCTGTTGCCTGAATGCTGGCTATTCCCTCTGGGCGGCCCATGCTGCATGAGGAGTGCAGGGCCCAAACAGCCGCTTGCTCCCCCGCGGTGGCCCAGCTGAGCGCCACAGAAGTCAGCCAAGTGCCACGGTGGGAGGGGAAGAGGGGCGGGGTGGTGACGTGCGGCGTGACAGCAGCTCCAGGTCCCCCCCCCGGGCCGTGAACGTCCCCACCCCACCCCCCTTCGCCTCCCGCCATGGCGTTGTTCAGCCAGGTTGCCACGTGGGAGCAAGGGATGCAAGCAACCGTTTGGGCTCCACAGTCCCACGAGTGACAGGCAGGAGGGGGAGGAGAAGAGAAAGAGAGACACAGAGAGAGAGCGAGCCAGGAGGAGGTGGAGAGCTGAGAGAGAGATGGGGGGAGGCAGTAGGAGGAGGAGGAGAGAGAGAGAGAGAGATGGAGCGAGAGACCAGAGGCTCAGGAGAGAAGATCAACGTGGAGGAGAGACCTGAAAATCCCGTCTTATGATGGGCTAATTGGTTAGTCAATTCTACCAAAGCCTCAGAATGAGAGTTGTTCTGAAGGCCCTATATTATCAGTCTACATATGCAAAATCAATGCCATCAATCAGAATTGTACATCCTTCTGAGTCAAATATGCTGTTCAATAACTGCTGAAAATCCTCACATATTAGGCTGGTAAGAATTCTCCTTCAAAATGGGTTAAAATAATAAAATTAAAATGCTAAATCTAGTTAAAGTTACATATACATTTATGCTACATATACAATTTAATGCTACATATATTTAAGGGTCACTTCAGTAGTGGTTCTTTTAACCAATCTTTAGAATCAATTCAAATGACTTTTTAGCATTTTTAATGGTAACTGTTCAGTTATATCACAGTAAAATCAATATAAAAACACTGGTTTCAGCCAATTTCGCTCATAGAACTTGAAAGATTTTGCTTAAAAACAGCTGGAAGTTGTTACATGAACTAATCACCTTGATTAATCTAAAAGGATTGTGATGGTCTCAATGACTTTACAAATCAACTGCTGTTCTCATGTAAGCATGTCCCCTATGCATTTTTTTTTAAAGTAGGACTTCTGATCACACATATGCCTAGCACTGAGACAGACATTTTAGAGCAGTTGCAGATTTGCAAACACAGAACAGTACAAAGTATTTACACCAGTAATGGGCAACCCAGGCTATTCAGTGGACCATATGAGTGGCTCTCTTCCTCTGGGTGGGATGCAAGATTGTTGTAACCAAGATAAGATCCCAGGATAGCAAAACTACTCTATCTGTGCTGGTGTACCTAGAATTTGTGAGGGGGTGTGCCAGTTGAACTATAACAGTGCTTTGATTGACTGCAGAGAGCACACCTGGCTCTCAAATGGCATGCACTTCAGTTCACGTTCACTTGCTTTACATGTGTGTCACTTTAGTAATATCAGTAGGGAAAAAAATCTATGTAGCTGGAAACCAACAGAATCTAACAATCCTGAATGTTGGTAGCAGTGAACAATGTTTCATGGGTCACACAGAACCCCAATGGTTTGCCAGTTACCCACCACTGATTTATATTGTGGAACTTCATGGCTTCCTATAGTGCAGTGTTCCCCAATTTTATTTGGCCATGGAAACCTTTTAAAGTTGAAAGAATTTTGCAGAACCCCTAATAACAGTCTTATACATGGAGCTGAAAAAGTAGACCACAAATAAGTTAGGATAATAATAAAGAAATGCTAAACAAGGTCAATATTTAGTTTAATTGCACATAGATTAATCTATCAAAGTTAATTTATATGTGTCACAGTTAAATATTTAAATACAAGAAATCACACGGCTACACTGAAGGAAAGTATTCGTGAGAACATTGCCTGCACACTCCCATACAAGCAACTGGTTTGAGAGCTGAAGCTTTGACTTTGTCCGACGCGGCGCTAGTATATTCGTATTCAGTCACTCACGTGATCACGCTCCCTCAGAGTGAGTATGGAAATTTACAGTGGTATATAACAAGCGATTACACCACTGACAGACATCATCGTCCCCACTCTCTGGCTAATCTGGCATTATACAGGGACACTTATAGTGGGAAACACAAATGAAAATTGTTTTCAATAAAATTCATAAATGCTCAAATATTAATTATGAATTTTTTAAAAAAATCATAAACTTATTGTAATGGAATTTTCTTGCAGAACCCTTATTTTCACTTCACAGAACCCCAGGGTTCTGCAGAACATCATTTGGGAAACACTGCTGTAACACATCAAAGAAATCCACTTTTTAAAAAAGGTACGTAACTGCAGATTTCCATAACTGACTGTTATGGGTTCTTCAGAACTGTTCTGGTATGTTACGCAAATAATACATGTTATCAAAACTTGCACATTTCTCAAAAAAATACAGTTGCCTAATGGAATACAATAGATTTAATGTGCATTTTGAATTTTGGTACATATACCAAAAGTCACTTAATTACCCAAACAGTTTTAATGGCTCCAACTGAGCAGGTATGCTCCATTAGCTACATATGCCTTTTAAAAAGCATCAGCATGCATCTGTCTGATCATAAATAAGTATTTTTATGATATCACCTTCATGATTTTAAAATTTCCTTCATGTTTACCCTCAGACTTCCCCTCTCCTTGTTTTCACTATTATGTTGTTCTTTAAAAAAAACAAACACAAAAAACCCTGTAAATTGGTAGAGTTAAATGTGCAATACATGTCAAAGTACATTTGGGTGAAAATTTGACATATTTGGCTCTCAGGTACTCCAGAGGTTGGAGGAACTAGTCCTCTGTTTGAATCTTTGAATGTTCCCCTCCCATGTCAGTTTGCATTTGGAATAGAAACACAACATTGCAAAACCAAAGATCAGTGACACTGAAAATAGCTGGATTTCATTTAACTACTACAGAAAACCAACAGACCAGAGAAGCTTTGCTAAAATCTCAGACCTATTTGCTCAAAAGGCTGAGAAAAACCACTCTCAATCTTGCCATGGCTCCTGGCTGAGTTTTAAGTTGGTTATAAGGTTTATGCTCTACACCAAACAAATGCTACAACAAGTGATCATCAGGCTTGAGAACAGCAATAGAAAGAGACTATATTGTAGTAGCAGAGTAAAGACACACACATCTCATCAGCAGGCAACTGTTACTGCAGCAGTCAGGTGTTCTGCTGCTGTGTGGAGCCATTTGGAGTGTGAGGGAGTGTGATACTGAACAGTTGCCCCCATCTCAGTCATTATTAGATATATTCATTATAGCATCAACCAGAGGTCCCAATCAGAACAATGGACTCTCTTGTACTGGGAGCTATACATTGTATATATATGAAGTCTCTGCTTCTAAGAGCTTATACCTAAGGGGGGTGGGGAATGACACGAGAGGCCTGAGGACACAGTATGTGGATATGGATAAGGAGGAGGAAGAGACCCCAAAAAGAATAGATGGGGAGAGAACAAAACAGGAAAGGGAAGGAGGGACAGCTAATTAGAATGATCAAAATCCGTGAGAGAAAAGTCAGAGCATGGAGAGAAAGGTCTAAAGCAGTATTTTTTTCTCCCAACATGTACACTAGAGCAACTTGGATTTCTATGTCTTCTCCAAGGCTCTGTAAATCCTGGCTATTGGGGTCATAATAATCTCCCACAGAGGAGATTAGCGATAGGAAAAAAAAATCAAACCCACATTAGGGAAATCTAAGGAGTGATTTGAAAAAAAAATGTGATGTCACAATGCACAGAAACAGAGGCAGTTTGAAGTGAGAGAGCCAGGTAAATGGAGGAATAAAAAGTGCCGGCACTGCTGGGAGGAGATAAAAGAAGCATTAGAGATGAGAGCATGGAGTGGGGGCAGAAGTTAAGTAGAAGTGACAGGTGAGATGTAGGCAAGGCTGGAAAGGGAATGAGAAAAATTGTTTATAGGATGAAATAGTAAAAAAATGAAGACATTCAAGGATCAGAGAGGAAATGGTAAGATCAACAGAGAAAATAGTGCTTTCTACTAGCAGAATTTTAAATAAATTGGAAAAAAAAAAAGAAGTGAGAAACATGGAGGCTAGAATGGAATAGGTTCCATCCATCGAGATATAGACCAGCCAGGCTCACAAGAAGTAGATTTTGATTCCACTGGTAATGTGAAAAAAACAACACAGCACAAGCTTCTCCACACAGCTCTACAAATGCCCCTGCAAAATTCTAGACCAAACAGGAGTCTCTCATGGCAGACTTCTAAGTTGGGTGTGACTATGGTAGTCTGGTTTTCAAAGAAAACTGTTGAATAGTAACAAAATCATACCTGTATACCATGCTACAAAAAATAGATAATCTTTGCTTTCTGATTGATTTACATCCTCTCAACGACTGAAAATTTTGGACACAAGATGGTGCACTAACACCAAAGGATCTAAAACCACAT